TCCTGGGTTCAGGCAGTTCTCCTGCCTCAGCCTCCTGAGTAGCTGGGATTACAGGCACGCGCCACCATGCCCAGCTAATTTTTTTGTAGTTTTAGTAGAGACGGGGTTTCATCATGTTGACCAGGATGGTCTCGATCTCTTGAACTCGTGATCCACCCGCCTCGGCCTCCCAAAGTGCTGGGATTACAGGCTTGAGCCACCGCGCCCGGCCCCTAATGTTGGGTATTTTTAAAATTAAAAAATTCTGTTTACAATTTCCAATTAAAACCTTTGATTTTTTTTTTTTTTGTAGACAGGATCTCACTCTGGTTGCCCAGGCTGGAGTACAGTGGCACGATCTCAGCTCACTGCAATCTCTGCCTCTTAGGCTCAGGTGATTCTCCCACCTTAGCCTCCTGAGTAGCTGGAACTACAGGGCATGCACCACCATGCCCAGCTTATTTTTTGTATTTTTGTTAGAGATGGGGTTTCGCACTGTTGCCCAGGCTGATCTCGAACTCAAGCAATCCACTGTTTCAGCTTCTCAGAGTGCTAGGATTACAGGTGTGAGCCACTGAGCCTGGCCTTCTTTTTGGCTTTTAACTATGTGTGGATTCCTAAATAGTAGATGATTTTGTGTAAAAAAAAAAAAAAAAAAAAAATGGATCTCAGTGTCAGAATAAACTTCACTTTGTTAGTTAGGCATTTTTTAAAAAATGTATTTATTTTTATTTTTATTCCTTTCTTTCCTGTTCTGTAGTTAGGCATTGTTAATATCTGTCATGTTTATTTTTTTCAATACACCCAGTAAGAATGAGACTGTCATGTTTATGCAAAACAGAATCTATTTTATGAAATAGGTGAAAATTCTATGAAATACATATAAAATCTCTTAGAAAAAAATAAATTTTATTATTGAAATCTCAAGGCAAATACTTCAGTATAAATTCTGACCCTACAGTTTTCTTTATTTTTTCCCCCCAGATTAAGCCCTTAACACATGTTGGCTGCATGAATGGGAAAATGAGGAGCAGGAGCAACGTCTGATGGGAGGGTCCCTGCTGGATCCCACGGTTGGCAGCACAGGTCTCTCTCTTTTTTTTTTTTTTTGAGACAGAGTCTCTCTGTCACCCAGGCGGAGTGCAGTGGTGCAATATCAGCTCATTGCAACTTCGGCTTCCAGAATCAAGCAGTTCTCCTGCCTCAGCCTCCTGAGCAGCTGGGACCACAGGTGCACACCACTACGCCTGGCTAATTTTTATATTTTTAGTAGAGATGAGGTTTCACCATGTTGGCCAGGCTGGTCTCAAACTCCTGACCTTAAGCGATCTGCCCACCTCAGGCTCCCAAAGGTGTTGGAATTACAGACATGAGCCACCATGCCCAGCCATGGACTCTTAAAGCTCTACTAGAAGAGTTTAGGAAAGGACTGGAGGGCACCCTGCACATTTTAACAGAACACATGGAGGGAAAGTGCATGTGAAGTGAAAAAAGAAGACCTAGGAATTTGGGGAGTCCCCTCCCCCTGGGAAGGCCCATGGTGATGGGTGGAAGCTGAGGTGTGTCCAGAGAGGCTTGGGGCCAGTTTGTTGTACATTTGTGGTCCATGTGCATACGTCAACAGATTGATGCTTTGCTTTCCCTGAATTATCTTATCTGACTATCCTGTCTAAAGTAGCACTCGCCCAATTTCCTTAAAAAAAAATCTTTCCAATATTGAGATATAATCCACATACGATAAAAATTCCCCCACTTAAAAGTGTGCAATTCAGTGTCATTTTTTTCTTAATATACCCACAGAGTTGTGCAGTCATCACCACAGTTGATTTTAGGATATTTTCATCACCCCAAAAGAAACCTCATCCCCACAAGGAGACACTCTCACTTCTTGATCCCCTCAGCCCCTGGCAACCACTCAGCTACTTTCTCTCACTGTAGGTTTGCCTATTTTAGACATTATGCATAAGTGGGACTGTGCAGAATGTTTTCAACATTATGCCCTTACTTGCCTTATTTTGTTTTTTCATCCTAGTACTTTGCATTGCCCCAAGTCATACTTCACTTGTTTGTTACTGTTTGCCTCCTTCCACCCCCAGGCACTAGCACTGTTGGGCATGGACTTTGTCTTAGGCATCAAATCACTTGGCACAGTGTACTTTACCTTTTGGCTGCTGAATGAATGAAGGAAGGCAGGAAGGAAGCACACTCTTTCCCCATTTACCCAGCTACTTCTTGGGTTGCTTTTGTTGAATTGATCAGTTCTCTTCCATGTTGCCTTCTAGTAAGTTGGAAATATACGTACTATTTCTACCCATTGTATTAAGTTTTAAATTCATGTTTAAATATCTAGAATTAGGATCTTTTTTTTCACCTAAAGAAGACAATAAAGAGAAGAACCTCCATAATCCCAACACTTTGGGAGGCAGAGGTGGGTAGATTGCTTCAGCCCAGGAGTTTGAGATTAGCCTGGGCAGCATAGGGAGACCGTGTCTCTACAAAAAAAAAAAAATTAGCAAGGTGTGGTATTGTGGGTTTGTAGTCCCAGCTACTCAGGAAACTGAGGTGGGAGAATCATTTGAGCCCAAG